AACCAATCTTTATGAAACTTGGTATATACATGTATATACTTGGTACATCATGGCACCTGAGCTCGTCTCAGCGGCGTACTTCATAATCCAATGCTGTCCAACGTTCTTATGTACTCGGGCACAATTCATTGATGCCTATGGAGGTGCGGGCGCCACCACACACCACTACTACTAGTACTTCTACTGCTACTACTACTACTACTAATAATAATAATAAACAATAATGATAATAATAAAATTTTTCGAAAATATTTAACAGTACTCAGACGTTCAAAAATGTCTCTTGTCTTACAATTTGAAGTAATATTAAAAATCAGCTCAATTATATGTGGTTACGGAGGGCGCCAGAAAAATATACCACGGGCGCCGCGTTGGACAGGGTTGTCATAATCCCTCCCATCAGTCTGTGTCTCTGTGTATCCTTATAGTTGCTAGGCAACAGCTCGGTAAACACATTCCCGCTGCAACAGATACACGCCGCAGTAGAAGAATTACTTGATGCATGTGTCTGTGGGTCTGTGTGTATTCCTTTATCGTTGCTAGGTAACGGCTCGGTAAAGACTCCTCCCGTGACAATGAAGCATTATTGAAGGCGTCTTTTTCTGTGCAGTCTGTGTCGTATCAAAGGAAAGTAGACAGTTCTTCCAAGAACTTATTTTATATTTATGAACTTCAGGTCACAGTTTTTTAAAATTCTGTCTTCTGCTACATACCGCTGCCTGTACTGATATTGCTGCATTAATTAATTTTAACATACTCAAAAAATGGCGTTTTTGTTGCTAAAAATGGTTGGCTTTCCGGATCTGAACGGAACTCACATAAGTTGTTCGAGCGTGCCTAAGTTTGGCTACAAAAGGATTTGTTTATTTCATTAGATCTGTTATACTTTTTTTTTCATTTTGAATTTTAAAAACGTGCTTTACACTCATTAGCAGCTCTGAATATATCGGATGGCGTTACAGTTGGACGTATAACATCCACAGAATAGCCACCAAATTCTCCAGATTTAAACTTTTAAATCGCCATGTCTGGAACGAACTTCGACCTTAGTGTACAAAAACCAGGGGGAACCGTTTAAGTCCCTTGCGTTAAGAACAGAAAGTATCACATTCCATCGTCCGATCAGTCATCCAGCATTGGAAAAGATTGGTTCAAGTCGCAATCCAAGACAATGAGGTTGTATTCCGTATCGATTCCGAGAAGAAATGTGATTGAATTATAAAAGAATGTAGGACTTGAGTTTCTCACAACTGTGGTTATAAAGAGTTCCAGTTTGTGGGATATCACGCCGTATATTCCGTCAAAAATCAACCGGTGTTATGCCTCAATCTTCTGGGTCGAAGAACGAGCCAGCTATCATACAGTGCTGTTTTATATTTCTGAAGTTTAGTTAACACTCCTTAAAATGTTTGTCTCCTGCTACTTGATGCTCCTTATAATGACATTGTTGCACTAATAGTTATACAGGATGACACTATAGTAATCGCGTTTTAAATGGTAATAATGAATGACTTACGATCTGACAAGAACTTTAGAAGTAGAGTAATTGTTTAGAGGGAGCACGCGGTAGCGTAGTTGGTTGAGGCACTAAGCTACAACGCGGGTTCGATTCCCAATGAAATCGTTCTGTTTTTCAATTAACGTAATCCTTCACCCCGCACTATGGCCCTGGGGTCGACTCAGCCTCTAACAGAAATGAGTACCAGCAATCATCCTGGGGTTAAAGGGCGGCCGACGTGTAAAGCTGGCAACCTCACCGCCATCTGTGAGACGATTGTCTAGAGAAAAATTTGGAACCTCGACGTCTCACAACCCTGTTGGCCTCCACGGCCTGTTACAGGGATGTCTTTACTTTCTTTTTAATAGCGGTAACAGACGAACTTCGATCTCTTTCTCTCTTTTTATCTTAAAAATTTCAGACTTGCCGACTGTCGAAAACTTCAGGTGTTTGTGTCTCTAACTTTTGGGTAGTGGGAATCTGAACTCACTTGAAGATGATCCCTTCTGGAGAAGCCGCCAGTTGCGCAGCTATTCAAGAATTTCCAAACATTTTAAGGAACTCGACGTTTTATTACCGTGTTCACAAGAGCCCTCCACTGGTCCCTATCCTGAGACAGATCGGTCCAGTGCATGCCACCCCATCCTGTCTAAGATCCGTTTTAATAGTATCCACCCACCTACGTCTTGGTCTTCCCAGTGGTCTCTTTCCTTCTGGCTTTCTCACTAATATCTTATACGCATTCCTCTTCGCTCCAATTCGTGCTACATGCCCTGGCCATCTCATCCTCCTTGACTTGATCATTCTAATTATACTTGGCGAAGAGTACAAGTTATGGATTTCTTCCTTACACAGTTTTCTCCAACCTTCTTTCACCTCATCTTTCTTCGGTCCAGATATTGTCTTCAGCACCCTGTTCTCAAAAATCCGCAGTCTGTGTTATGTCAAGAGAGCAAGTTTCACACCCATACAGAGCCACGGGCAAAATTATACTCAATTCTGTTCTAATTTTTTTGTTCTAGACAGCAGACGAGAAGACAGAATGTTCTGGGCTGAATGGTATTAAACATTACCCGAATTCGATCTGTTCTTAATTTCCGCTTGAATGAAATTTTGATTTGTTGTTACTGTGATTCCCAAATATTTGAACTGTGCCACATTTTTTTAAGGATCTGTTAGCTGTATCCGTCGTCCTGTTTTCCTATTTAAAACAACGTTTCGGAGACTGGACTCAGCCTCCGTCTTCAGGTATGAATGTATAAGGGGCGGGCCTTCTCGGCCCTTGCACCGCGACCTACAATGGTCTATTGTGCTTCGTCCGTCTTCAGGTAAGGAGCCTATTCTGTTGGGCTCAGTCGATAGCGTTAGTCCATATCCCCGGGCCGCAGTGTTTTGAATCAAAAATAGGTCAATGGATTCATTCATTCGTCAGTAATCTGTCAGACGACAGGTCTACAGTCTCTTCCAAAACAGTTCCTCCACTTAATGCGATCTAGAGCTTTCTCCTTCAAATAAGAATATCCTCTTCTGTCCCCAAGGCCATCCAGCATCTTCTTACGTCTTCTTCCTTGTTTTCTGGTTCGCATACATGGTGTCTCTGTTTTTGGAAAGATAACATCCAACATAACATCCAAAAAACAATAGTATGATCACCATTTCAGTTCAAGCATTTTTACCAGTCCAAGAGAAATGTGTGAATTGTTTGCAGTGTGATCTCACTGCTTGCAATATCAACTCGATCTTTTAAAGATCCTCGACGTTTCGGAATTATAGCGAAAGACATGTTGGATATGGTTCTAAACTGTTCGACACTCTCATATAGTGGGTATGCACTGCATATGATTGCGAATAGTGTTGGACCATAATTATAGTTTGTACCACGATATGGATTATAATTTCCGTGTACTTCATTAAGTACACATCGTGTCGAAATATGTTTGTGAAAAATAGTTGTTTTATTTCCTGTAGTGTACTTCTTTTTTCGTGTATCGCAGCATATGAACTATTAATGAAGTTCAATTATAGTTTGTACCACGATATGGATTATAATTTCCGTGTACTTCATTAAGTACAAATCGTGTCGAAGTATGTTTGTGAAAAATAGTTGTTTTACTTCCTATAGTGTACTTCTTTTTTCGCGTACCGCAGCTTATAAACTATTAATGAAGTTCTGTTTGAACTCTAATTACCAAAGGGTTCTCGTTAAAATACAAGGATAATCAAAAGCATTCGAAGCATGTTACCGATTTCTGACGCTATCCTGTGAGCTAACTCGAGTAGTCTGTTGCTCTGAAGTACAGTTATTTGAAATGCCTGTAGTAAAGATAAAGGAAATGGCTAACAGTCCTGTATCTCATTCTCTTTATTGTGTTTGGCAGTGAGATAGTGGGGTCTGTGTTGACACACAAATGACTTAGCAGGATTTCCTATACAGCGCTCGCTAACTGCGTTATGCCCACAAAACTTTCATGTTATATTTTCATTAGATTCTTCTGCTTGATTACAGTTCACGAACTGTGGTACTTTAGTGACACAGTGACGCTTGGAATGTAGACAGGGAAAGGGAATCCCATCGAGCTCTTTCGAGAAATAAGTTAGAGAAAATATATAGCGGCTGTTACCTTTGGCATATTCGTTTGTCTGTACATGTAATGCAGAGTCAGGATTAAGAGTAAGGCCTTAATCGGTGTATCACTGTTACCACTAGAATATAACTGAAATTTCCTCACCATTTATTTCAGTTCGGGCACGCGGTAGCTTAGTTCGTTGAAGCATTATGCTACAAGCCTGACGGTAGCGAGTTCGATTCTCGATGAAGTCATTGATATTTTCAGTTGACCTAATCCTTCCAGCCGCACTATGGCCCAGGGGTCGACTCAGCCTCTAACAGAAATGAGAACCAGAAATCTTCCTGGGGGTATTTTTTTATTACTAGTGGGGTGGGACTAAGTCCCATGCACTGTTGCCACTTCTCGCCTATTGTACCAGCCTCGGATGATAGGTGAGGGTGATTGTGGAGCAATTGGTGGAATGAAGATTGGCAGGGGAACCGAAGTACTCGGAGAAAACCTGCCCCAGCGCCACTTTGTCCACCACAAATCCCACTTGACTAGACCCGGGATCGAACCCGGGCCGTCGCGGTGGGAAGCCAACGACTAGCCGCTTGAGCTGTGGCATGGCCCTTCCGGCGGATAGAGAGCGGCCTGGGCGTAAGGCTGACAACCTTATCGCCATCTGTGAGCTGATTGTCCAGAAAATGTGGGAGCCTCGACTTCTCACAACCCTGTGGGCCTTCACGGCCTGTTACAGGGATAGCTTTACCATGTTTTTTATTTCAAATCAAAAATGGCTTAATCAGCGTGAATGTGTTGTTGCAGTGAACCGTCCCATTAATGCCGTACACACTGTGTAAACCATGATTTTCAGTGGTGATATGAAGTATCATTGTATTGACACGAATGATTCTGTCCCCATTAACATGCTTCTTTATGTTTTATTCCAGTTGCCGGAGTATGCCATGCCACCGACCCGCCATGCAGACTACAGTAAAACCCGTGAGTATCTGGGCGCACAGCCTCTGCACTTCCTTCCTACTATGTGTAAGGAGAAACGGTAGGGTAGAGTTGTCCCTGTGCTTAATTAATTACTTAGGCACTACACCACGAAGACATATGAAGAAGTAGAGATATACCTCCACCATTCATGACCTCGACACAAGATGGATGTGAGGTCAGCTTCACGCCCCGGACGCTTTAACCTCGGGGAAATCGTCCCAGGTACCCATTGGATGTCTTAATTAATTAATTAAGCACTGTGCCACGAAGGCATATGAAGAAGTAGAGATATACCTCCACCATTCATGACCTCGACACAAGATGGATGTGAGGTCAGCTTCACGCCCCGGACGCTTTAACCTCGGGGAAATCGTCCCAGGTACCCATTGGATGTCTTAATTAATTAATTAAGCACTATGCCACGAAGGCATATGAAGAAGTAGAGATATACCTCCACCATTCTTGACCTCGACACAAGATGGAGGTGAGATCAGCTTTACGCCCTCTGGGAAATCACCCCCGCTACCCATTGGATGTTATTGTGTGTATATGTAATCAAGGTTGCATGTGATGCAGTTCGTCCCAAGTACAACGCCTCCCGCGCCTCAGACGGTCATGGCCTTTGCGTGATTTATTATTGTTCGCAAGTTGGCAGACGTATTGATTACTTCTGGGTGAATTTCGTGACGCATCTCAACTGCTTCGGCTTGTGTTGTGAATTGTAACGGCTTAGTTTAAGTCGATATTACAACAGGTGTCCGAAGTGGTTGAGGAAAATCACGAAAATCCAGAGGCATCTTAAGCCCGATGTTTGACCCGGAACCACCCGATCGTGACTTTCGGTGTGATACCTGTCACAGGTATCAATGCGGAATAGTTTGGATAACTGGTACGAGCATCGCTAAATAGCTTATTTTTTATTATTATTTTATAAGACAAACCTAAAGATAGAAGAGGTGCGGTGCAGTTATCCCGAGGAGCTCTCTCCAAACAGAAACTTGAGCGCTGTCTTCAGAAGGAAGAAGAAACTGACGCAGGAACCAGAGCGTTTCCACTGGTCTCTTCCAAAATGCGAAGGCCGATTAGTCTGCCCGAAGAATAAAACTTTCCTCAGCAGCTGCCGTGCCGGTGGAGGTAGAAAGAAAAAGAGAGGGTAAAGTTTCCCCCTTGCTTAATTAACGCATTATGCCATCAAGATGTATGGGGAAGTTGAGATATAACTCCACCATTCATTACCTCGGCACTGGGTGGAGGTAAGTGGTCAGCTTCATACCTCGACCGCTTTACCCCAAGGAAAGAGCCCCAGGTACACATTGCATGGGCCCCAGAGCCGGTCTGGACGCTGTAGAGAAGAAAAAAATATATTCCCCCGCAGGAATGGAACCACGGCCGTCCAGCCTATAGCCCCTCTCTGTACCGACTAGGCTGTACCAGCACGCTTCATTCATACAGTAAGCCTGCTGGTGGATTCAGCATATGAAGTAGTGTTGCCCAACTGTGATTTTCGTTTTAGTTTCTCGTCCGTGAAGTTAACTGATGGGCCACACTGCGAAGTCCAGGCGACCAATTGCTCACCGCTGTTGTAGGGTTGTTAGCGGCTCTGTGTATATAGTCACTTTTATATACATATTGATTAGCCTACATTTGAGTGATTGGTTGCAGTTCGGCGGTTTTATGGTAGGGACAAAATTAAATGGAATGATAATGAAGTTTTGAAATTTTGATGTGTTTATTAACGACAGGAACTGGACAGGAGGCTAAAACGTATATGACTGGCCAAGTTTTTCGAGCTACTGTATTTCGCGATGCTTTGTTTAAGTGTAGGTTGGGCATGAACATACCAGAACACATACGAACTTGACAAAAACGTGTTTAATAAAGGCGAGGTCTCCGTAAAGGTTGTCTTTTTGCTGATGCATTTGTTGCATGTTCTTGAAGCCGTGTTACAATACGTATAGTATGTAAATCTCGTCAGAATTGAATATTTTGATATCGTCGTCATATCGTTTGACTGTTTTACTTGTTTTAGGAAAAGTTCTTAATTCTTAAATTAGTTTAACTGCTTAAGCCACCGGGACCGTGAACCGGAGAAACCTTGTAAGGTCAGATGGTCGATATTTGGAAATGGAAAGTTTCGCTTTAAGTTGCGTAGACCTGTATTCCGAGGCTTTTCCTACACAAAAAAAAATCGATTTATCCTGGCAAAGGGTCAAGCCAGGCCCTCATGTAAACGGTGCTGACCGTGGGCTTGTGTACGCTTAACACAGCGGTTTCCATGAAATAATACTTAGTGCTCAGAAAGTGAACCCCAACCACTGTCACCATGGAGCAGTTGTTTTGAAGAAGCATATCATCGCGAAAGGACTGACTGACTGATTATATTGTAGCGTATAGAGCCGTACTATGCGACGACCGCGAGATAGGCAAGTATACCAGACCCGTTTCTAGGCAACGGCTCTGCAAACACGTTCCCGTTGATAGGCAGCAGATTCCTAATAATGCGACAGTTGGACTACAACAGTGGAAGAGCCCAGTTTTCTGCGTGGTCCGTGGCGATATGTTATAAGCAAGGGAAAAGGTTAGAGCCTAGAGAGTTCCGTACGGGAGTCTGTGAAGAGAGGGCTTGAGCCGGGGCAGAGGAATAGTCATTGGTGGAGCCGTTACCAGGAACGGTCTAGTAAAAGACTGAGAACACTATACTGTGTGCTCTAGTGAAATATTAAGTGTGAAAATAGCAGTAGTGTTCTAGTGATTTGTAGTTACGGCCGTTAAGTGCTCAGCACATCTCTTCGCCAGTCCAAACCCCGTCTGTAGTCATACATCCGAGTACAAGTGACAATATTTCACATGAATTTTATTTAACCATTCATTTTACAGATGTGAAACCGCACTCAGTTACATTTATGCCACATGTGTGTAATCTGCCTGTCCACCGAACAGGTTGAGCTTATGTTATATTTTAGCGTCCTGTTGCACTGATTTAAGTCCATGATTTATTTAAACCGTCTTGCAATGCATACACTCATCTATCTCCTTCTCTCACTCGCACTACATGTTTCGGCACAAAAATGCCATCTTTCAGGTGCTTACTCAATCCACGCCAAACTAGTTCATTGCATGCCTTGTCCTCACATTAAAATAACTAAAATATATATCTATCGTATACTTTTGTCAATGTATTCATCTGTCTGTCTGTATCTGTCTGTGGCTCTACAGCACTTTGTTGGACCTCGGCCACTTTTTCAGGTTCTTGATGCTATACACAGTCGGTAGGACTCCTTGGACGGGGATGAGCCCGTTTCAAGGCCGCTGCCTACACACAGGACAGCACAAACACAGAACAGACGCATAGAAATATCCATGCCTTGAGTGGAACGGAACCCACGATCCCAGTTTTCAAGCGGGCGAAGACAGTTCATGCCTTAGGCCGCTAGGCCAGTATGATCGGCCGATACTTAACATTGTCATCCTAACTCCCCCCCTCAAAAGGAAGAATAACTGCACCAAGCTGTACACTTTGATAGTTGGAGTAGAGCGTCGTGGAGGTTTGGATTCGGAAGACACTGCCTCAGTTGAAATCGTTTTCACAATATAAAGCCTGTGTTGTGTATTGCAGGCCACCAGCTTAACAGCTAATATTGTCAAACTAAACTTACAGCTTGTCGTTACGCAGGTGTACCAACGTCAGATCAGATGGACCTACAGAAAACTACAGTTTAAAAAACTGAACAGTCTTTTTTTTCGTCAAGAACGTATAGGTGGTCAGCTAGTTAAGAAGTGTTCAGTGCTTTATGGAACCCAAAGACTCATTGCCGTATTTACATGATCCCACGTCACTGATCCATATCCTGAGCCAGATGAATCCAGGCAACGCTGTCTTCCTCTGTATTTAATATACACTTTAATACCGACATATATCAGAGGTTTGTTCGACTTATAAAACGGAGTTTGGATTTGATGATCGAATTTATTGGACCTTTATGCAACTTGTTACGACATGCCACAAATCACTATCTCTGACTGGACACTCTCGACTTCTGACCACACTACACTAGTCCCTCTATTCTGACATCCAGATGAACTGTCAGTTATTGTTGGCCTCTCATTATATAGCCTCGGTTCTGACCTGACAGAAAACACATCCATTGCCTAGCAATATATGTCCTCTGTTATTGCGTATTCGTTCGAACGTGTTTGCCCAACAGCGGGCTGTTTACCAAGAATCTTGACACTGCGGGAAAGTGTTTATCGAACCATTTTCTAGCAGTGGGTGTGTACTTCACAATATCCTCCCAGATACGCCTTCGTCTTCCAAGAAGTGTCCTTTCATCGGGGTTTCTTGGCAGATATCTCTGTTTCTCTTCTGCCCTATACGAGTTACATGCTCAGCCTGTCGGAGTATCCTTAATTTGATTCTCATGAGAATATATGGCGAGGAGTAATGTTTATGAAGCTACTCATTATGAAATTCTCTCAAGCCCCCTGTTACTTCCTTTCGCTCAGATCAAAATGTTTTCAGGTATCTATATACGCCCTATTTGGCACTGATGAGTAGAATTACTCGTCTGCTTACGTAGTGCCCATGTGGCCATAAAGGGACCGTGGAGGTGTAAAATTCCGTGCAAATGTATCCTAGGCACTGGAGTGGCCAACTTCATAGTTCCAGAAACTGTGGGCTCATTTGATGCCTGATTGAGTAGTGCTCATGGCGGTACTCAGTTAAGTGAGGCCTCAAAAAGCATCAGGCTTTTCTCTATCCCTGTATCCTCTGCTTACCATTCACACACCAAAATGGTATTCGCCTAGAACTTCTAATGTGTATCCCCCAATACCAAATTTAATCGAAATTAGTTACGCCGATTTTGTATGAAATGTGCAGGAAGGCACGAGCTCATCAGTATATCTGTATTGTTCTTCGTGTTAAGAGTGTGAAAATTAACACAGAATACAAGTCTAGAAACGTGTATTGCCTTATTCCTTATCTCATTGACCTTTGAATT